ATTCTTGTTGCGACTTTATTCTCGTAACTTTCTGACTTTATTCTGGTAATTGTACGACTTCATTCTCGTAATTTACAACTATTGTTTTTGCGACTTTATTCTCGTAACTTTCTGACTTTATTCTGGTAATTGTACGACTTCATTCTCGTAATTTACAACTATTGTTGTTGCGACTTTATTCTCGTAATTTGTACGACTATATTCTCGTAATTGTATGACCTTATTCTGATCATTTTCAGACTTTATTCTCGTAATTGTGTGACTTTATTCTGGTAATTTTAAGACTTTATTCTCGTAATTTACAACTATTCTCGTTGCGACTTTATTCTTGTAATTTTACGACTTTATTCTTGTAATTTTATTACCTTATTCTGATAACTTTCAGACTTTATTCTCATAATTTTGTTACTTTATTCTGGTAATCTTATGACTTTATTCTCATAATTTACAACTATTCTTGTTGCGACTTTATTCTCGTAACTTTCTGACTTTATTCTGGTAATTTTATGACTTCATTCTCATAATTTGCAACTATTCTCGTTGCGACTTTATTCTCGTAATTTTACGACTATATTCTCGTAATTTTATGATGTTATTCTGATCATTTTCAGACTTAATTCTCGTAATTTTGTGACTTTATTCTGATAATCTTATGACTTTATTCTCGAAATTTACAACTATTCTCGTTGCGACTTTATTCTCGTAATTTTATGATCTTATTCTTGAAATAGAAAAAAATGTTTTATCTCCAGCCTGCCCCCTAATTCTTTCGTATTTCATCAAAGATGTGAATAAGGAAATTGTCTATATACCAAACTGAACGATCCTTGTTCTCTACTTACAAAAACTTTAGAGTGTAAAATGTAAAAAAAAAAAAATTTTTTTTTTTTTTTTTTATTTAAAAAGTCAAAGTATAACATGGATGCATAAACACCTCATTTTATTTTGGTGTTAAATTATGTTTAAAGTAACAGGTTATAATTAAAATTGTCTCCGGACCTTTACTGGTTGATGATTTTATTTATTCGGACCCTGCTGGTTTTTAATTGGTTACCCCTGACCTCACTGTGAGGCCATTTTTAAGCCCTATTTCTATTCCAACCAGAACTTATTACATTCTCTTTAGGGGCCCAGTTGCTCTGGACCTGATTTTCTCTTAACAGAGGAAACAATTGTTTTGACTATGTTGGAATTCAGATTTTTCTGAAATACCAAAATACTCACGTAGAGTTTTTCGTACTTCTGTCCAAAATACGTGATGGGACACGAGCTGATGTTTAACTCAGAGGAAACCGTAAAACCCTGTCCAGCAGCGCCTAAAGACAAAGACACAGATAAAAGATGTGATTTATGGTCTGTCACCTACTTGTCATCACATAAAGGTATTGTTTTCAAATAAAAATTCAAAACTGTTCCTTTCGATTCAGTTGAAGGCAGGCTGTTAGCTTTCATTTCTAGATCAGGACAGTTCCTTTCCTATACTCAAGAAACAAAGTTTTTTTTTTTTAACAAAGCTCTGTGTTTACACCTTGAAGGTTTCTCTCTCCCCGGATCATTTCCTGTAGAGAGATCACTCGAGACAAACTTTTTAAATAACACGTTTATGTGTTAAATAACCATGAGACTGGACAAAAGATGTTAACAAAAGCTGTAATCTTACTCAGGTTAGAGAAGTTGCTTATGGTTACAAAAGGCAGCACTTACCGACCGGCTCACCTCTCAGAAAGTGGCCATGAATCACAATTAAAGAGTTTTATACAGCTCCAGTCTGACAAGTCATTACATCGTACACATTTGTAAATTAGGAGACATCCATGGCTACAGCCTTATCAAAATGTTACACTATGTTTTCAGAACAAGAACAATGCTCTCATTCCATTCCCAAATATTTGACAGTTGCATAACAAAGAGTTTTATCCTGACAGAGTAACTGTCCTAATTAGATAAACTACCTCTGATGTGAAACAGGCAGCTATTACGAGGGTATTACAGACTCACACATCATCAATAAGAATAATCCTAACAAGATGTTTGATTTTGAACATATTTGTAATCAAAATATCATCAGTTTATCACCGATCAGGGCCTTTATGTTTATACCTGGCAGAGCCACAAAAACAAACAGGTAAAACAGGAGCTGGATCATGATGGGATGGGTGGGTCAGCAGACACCAAGCTGGAAGACAGAGAAAACATCATAGAACGTTTTTAAGGGTAAAGTGTGGATCTTTAATCATGACAACAATGTTTTTTTAATTCCTTCTTTGTGCTTTAACTGGACCAAGCGAAGCACAATCATAACTTATTCAATTATTGCACTGTCTTTTATTTGCAGTACAGGTTAGGCTGCTGATGTTGAAAGGAGAGACTGGAGATACATCAAATTACAACCTCCTCTTTCCTTTTCTCGCAAACTGCCTGCACAACATGTAAGGCAGAACCAAACTGGTTTGCACTTCTCAACGTTTGTGCAGCAATCTTTGCAGATCAGCAGCAACTGTTTCATTTATTGCATGTTTAGAATAAAATCATTTTATTCTATTCTAAGCATCTAAACACCCCCTGCACGGATCGCGCACGGAGTACCTAACGGTTCTAAATGGTTTACAAATGATTGCATCCATTACTTTTCTCACAGTATTAAGTGCATCCTAAAGGCAGCCACAATTTGTAACAGTGTGTGCAGATATGATCAATTATCTAAAGATGCAGGCAGACAAAAAGAGAAGAGAAAGACCTTCTCTTTTACAGTAAAATGACAGAAAAAAACACTAGGACCTATCACCTAAGAGGCATGATCTAGAAACTGAGTTTTATCAGTTTGTGTTTTGTTTTAGCAGGTTGTGTGAGCAGATGCTTTAACCCACTCAGCCCTTACATTTCTGGGCCGCACTGGTTTATAGCTGAAAAAAGGCTTATTGTGAAGTCCATTCTCCAGTACCAGTAGTCTGGGAAATTATGATGGGCCACTGAGCAGGTGTTTGTGATAAAATGTAGTCAGCAATGCCCTGCACCAATGAAGAACGTAGAGGGTAAAATGCATGGCTTTAGACTCCAATAAGCATTTTTAAAAATGGAATTTGAAAAAGGGAGGCAAGGCTAAACACACAGATGTCCAAAACACTCTTATGATGGCAAAAAGTTCTCTGTGCGCACAAATTAGTATTATTTAAAATGTAGGAACAGATTAAAATTAAGTGGGAAAAGATTCAAATTTAGTAGGAATGTATTCATATTTAGTGGGAATGGATTCAAATTTAGTAGGAATGGATTAATATTTACTGGGAATGGATTCAAATTTAGCGGAAACGGATTTAAATTTAGTGGAAACGGATTCTTATTTTGTGGGAACAGATTACTATTTGGTGGGAACGGATTAAAATTTAGGGGGAATGGATTCATATTTATTGGGAACGGATTCATATTTATTGGGAACGGATTCATATTTAGTGAGACTGGATTCATATTTTGGGGGAACAGATTACTATTTGATGGGAACGGATTAAAATTTAGGGGGAATAGATTCATATTTAGAGGGAACAGATTCAAATTTAGTGGGAACGGATTCCTATTTAGTGGGAACGGATTCATATTTAGTGAGAATGGATTAATATTTTGTGGGAACAGTTTACTATTTGGTGGGAACGGATTAAAAATAGTGGGAACAGATTCAAATTTAGTGGGAACGGATTCCTATTTAGTGGGAACGGATTCATATTTAGTGAGAATGGATTAATATTTTGGGGGAACAGATTACTATTTGGTGGGAACGGATTAAAATTTAGTGGGAATGGTTTCATATTTAGTGGGAACAGATTCAAATTTAGTGGGAATGGATGCATATTTAGTTGAAACAAGTTCAAATTTTGTGGGGAACTGATTCAAATTTAGTGGGAACAGATTCATAGGCTAAATCTATTTTTACTTATTCATCCATATCTATTTTTTAATCCCATGGCAGTTCCCCTGATCCATAAGAATAGGGAAAGTATTATTGTATTTTTCATGTTCCTAAAAAAAATTAAATAGCCTACATGTTTTATGTGTTAGGCTATTTACTTATTTGCTTGCATTAAAACAGTTATTTCTAGATTGATAGAAGGTAGGCTACCATGGAGGACCAATGAGTCACTGAAAAAGAAAAGCTGCCATTTCAAATTTAACATTTATATCATGCTAATTGAGTATTTTCTGATCCCAAATTTTGTATGGAATTATTAAAGAAAATTTGTAAATTGTATTTTTAGTAATGCAATAATAAATACTGGAATTTCAAAATGTATTTTTAAATCCTATTTCAAATCCCTGGCAGATTTCTAAATTTCCCTTAAGAAAAATGTTGGGATCCTCAGGCTTGCCCACCAGAGGGCGCCGAGGATCCTCTTCTGTTTTATTTTGTTTTCTGTTAGGACTGGGGTTACTGTTGGGATTTGGAGAGTTACCACCTTTCTCCAGCAGAGTGCGCTGTGGGTCTCCTGGGCTGGAGCCCTCCAGCACACTTAAAGCTCGTCAGCCCATCAGGAGAC